TTGTAGCATATTTCATATTATAAACTTATTATAAGCTTATTTTTTATTATATTATAATATAAAATAAATATGTTATATTTATTTTATATTATAATATAAAATAAATATGTTATATTTATTTTATATTATGAAACATAATATTTTATACCTCTTAATCTCCTACCCTTATATTGCCCTTTCCCTTCCCTGTCACTACTGGTAACCCCTAATATGTTCTCTCTGTGAGTCTGCTCATTTCTTGTAATAGTCACTAGTTTGTTCTGCTTTTTTAGATTCCACACATAAGTGATGTCATACAGTACCTGTCTTTCTCTGACTTATTTCAGTTAACATGCTACCCTACATGGCCATCCATGTTGCTGCAAATGGCAAAATTCCATTCTTTTTATAGCTGAGTAGCATCCAATTGTATTTAACTTATATGCAGAGTACATCATATAAAATGCTAGGCTGGATGAAGCACAAGCTGGAATCAAGATTGTAGGGAGAAATACCAATAACCTCAGATATGCAGNGCATATTAAAAAGCAGAGATATTAATTTGCCCATAAAGGTCCATATAGTCAAAGCTATGGTTTTTTCACTAGTCATGTATGGGTGTGAGAGTTGGACCATAAAGAAGGCTGAGCACCAAAGAACTGATGCTTTTGAACTGTGTGATTGGAGAACATTCTTGAGAGTCCCTTGGACTGCGAGATCAAACCAGTCAATCCTAAAGGAAATCAATCTTAAATATTCATTGAAAGGACTGATGCTGAAACACCAATACTTTGACCACCTGATGTAAAGAGCTGACTCATTAGAAAAGACCCTGATTCTGGGAAAGATTGAAGGCAGGAGGAGAAAAGGATGACAGAGGACTAGCTAGTTGGATGGCATCACCAATTCAATGGACATGAGTTTGCAAAGACTTGGATATGACTGAGTAACTGAACAAACAAAGTATCCCACTATGCATACATACAACAGCTTCTTTATGCATCCTTGTATGGACAGATATTTAGGTTGCTTCCATATCTTGACTTTTGTAAATAGTGCTGTTATGAACATTGGGATGTATATATCTTTTCACGTTACTGTTTTCAGATTTTTTATTTGTATTCAAGTGTGGAATTGCTGGGTTATATGGTAGTTCTATTATATTGCTAGTTTTTTCAGAAACTTCCATACTGTTGTTAACAGTGGCTGCACCAATTTAGGTTTTTTTTAATTTCTATTTTTAATTGGAGGATAATTGCTTTACAATATTGTGTTACTTTCTGCATACATCAACATGAATCATACCTGTGGTATACATACATCCCCACCCGCTCTGGAACTCCCCTCCCACCTCCCATCTTTCCCCTCTAGGATGTCACAGAGCTCTGGGTTGAGCTCCCTGTGCCACACAACAAATTCCCACTTGCTATCTATTTTACATGTGGTAATGTCTGTTTCCATGCCATTCTCTCAATTCATCCCACCCTCTCTTTTTCCCATTGTGTCCACAAGTCTGTTCTTTATATCTGTGTCTCTATTGCTGCCCTGCAAATAGGTTCATCAGTACCATCTTTCTAGATTCCACTTGCATGCGTTAATATATGTTTGTTGTTCTCTTTCTGATTTACTTCACTCTGTACAGTAGGCTCTAGGTTCATCCACCTCATAGTACTGACTCAAATATGTTCCTTTTTTTTATAGCTGAGTAATGTTCCATTGTATATATATACCACAATTTCTGTACACATTCATCTGTCAGTGGATATATAGGTTGCTTTCATGAGCAGTGTACATTGTGACCTTTCTTTTCAATTCATGTCAACTAATTCTGAAATTCAGGCAATTGTAAAATAAAGGTGATGATTTTCAACAGAACTGCACCATTGTTTAAAAAATTGTATTCCTAATCCTTAATGTTCACTGGTGAACGGAAGTTAATATAGTTTTCTGTTAAATTAGAGCTGATAAAATGAATTTCTGTTTAAGAAAAATCATCCACACTAGTTATGTGCAAGATAAAATAGAATTTATTTTCACACTATAATTATAAGACAACATCTAAAAAATTTAAATCCAGAAGAAAATTCTGCCTCAAGCTATTCATTGTTAGCAAAATCAGAGATTGTTCCTTTCAACTTTGTTTTCTGGTTTAAACGTTTTCATTCTTGTCACTGAAGATCCAATGTTAATATTTGTCCTGAGGAAGAATTTAAGTAATTTACTCCAGTTGCAAATAGCAGTGAGAAAGCTCTGATATCAATCAGCCAGAAGCTCTTGAGTATGCAAAAATGTTTGGGTATCCAGACCTTGTCTGTGTGCACAATTGACCCCTTCCCCTTCTCACGACCAGGCCTGGAAAAGTGATCGGAAGGAGTAGAGAATGAGTAAAGTGGAAACACCCACATGCCACTGAGGGTGTCATCTGAGTCACAGACTCCCTACAGCACATCCTCCTTGCCATCTCTTCTTCTCCCAGAAAAGTGACAGTGAAAGTCACTCAGTCGCATGTCCAACTCTTTGTGACCCCATGGACTATACAGTCTGTGGAATTCTCCAGGCCATAATACTGGAGTGGGTAGCCTTTCCCTTCTCCAGGGGATCTTCCAAACCCAGGAATCGAACCCAGGTCTTCCACATTGCAGGCCCATTGTTTACAGCTGAGTCACAAGGGAAGCCCAAGAATACTGACATGGGTAGCCTTTCCCTTCTCCAGGGGATCTTCCAGACCCAGGAATTGAACCAGGGTCTCCTGCATTGCAGACAGAGTCTTTACCAACCAACTGAGCTATCAGAGAATCCTTCTTCTCCCAGGGAGGTGTTTTTTCCTACTCTTTTGTGCAAATCAGCTTTTTAAAAAGTGACTTGCCCTGGGTAGGTGTGGGGAAAGAGGACCTTTAAATTCTATTACCAGTAGACTCACAATATTGTATTGAGATGCAATGTTTCTATGCCTCTGAATTGGTTTACTCTTTATATACATTGATTCTTCAATCATTTTCATAAAAACATCTTCTAGATAAAAATTTCATTCATTAATCATTGAAAACATGGAACACATAAGGTACATAGTATGATGAATATTAAGGAAACTTTTTATTAATGACATATTTTTAGATCATACAAAACTTAAATAGAGTTATTGGTTCAACAGAAGGAAATCTTTTTTCAAAAAACTAAAGTTCACATAAAGAAAAACAACAAATTAAAAAAATTATTTAAGTATAATTAACTTACAATGTTCTGTTAATTTCTGTTGCACAGCAAAATTATTCAGTTATAGATAGATAGATAGACATTCTTTTCACATCCTTTTCCATTATGGTTTATCACAAGATATTGAACATAGCTTCCCATTCTATAAGTTGAGCCTTGCTGTTTATACATTCTACATATAATAGTTTGCCTCTGCTAATCCCAAATTCCTAATTATTCCCTCCTCAACCTCCTTTCCTCCTTGTCAACCACAAGTCTATTCTCTATGTATGTGAGTCTGTTTCTAGAAAAATAGCTAAATTTTTAGTATTTTTCTTTTGCTGACAGAGGGACTACCGAGATTTTAAAATAATCATAAATAAATTAACCATTACTATATGTCATCTAATGAGATAATGTATGTAAAAATGTAATACATCGAGCCCCTTGTTATCCATTTTCATGGTTGCTCAGATGACAACCACAGTAAAAATATATTTGCTTCACTACTGAAATAAGAATTTCACCATATAACAATTCAAATGGAGGCCAAAAAGGTACAACAGTGAATGCAGGCAACCTATTAGCAGCTTAAAATACTTAAAATTATAAATATACAAATAATTAAATTATTTTGATTTATTTAACATCAAAGTATGAAAGCAAGAGCCACTGGTATTCTAAAGATTCACATGTTACATTCAAGAGTGAAACCACCATAGACAGAGGGCTTCTGTAACCCGTCCTCTGCAGTAAAAACATTACATTGCCATTCAGAAAGCTTACTTTAGAAACAAAGGAGTGATCTTTCCTCTGTCACACTACAGTGCCACGACACAAGGCATTCCCCCAGTCTTGCAGCCACCCAAACCGTGCCTCAAGGCCCAGCTCATGCACCACCTCCTCTGTCCCATCGCTGATTCTATTGAGGCTGATACAGATCCTCCTCCTGTTCTCCACTGAGTCTTCCATGAGATACATTTCTTATGTTACTCTTTGCATGTCTATCTCCTTTAGGAGATTCAGGATTCCTAAGGTCAGCAAAGGAATTTTTTCATGTGCCTAGAGTCCAGGAGCACACGCAATGGCCCTATATGCTACTCAATGCCAGCTGGGTGAATGAGGAGCCCATCTGAAGCATAACAAAGCTTCCTGGCAAAGTTAAAGGAAATCTTTTTTCAAAAAACTAAAGTTCACATAAAGAAAAACAACAAATTAAAAAAATTATTTAAGTATAATTAACTTACAATGTTCTGTTAATTTCTGTTGCACAGCAAAATTATTCAGTTATAGATAGATAGATAGACATTCTTTTCATATCCTTTTCCATTATGGTTTATCACAAGATATTGAACATAGCTTCCCATTCTATAAGTTGAGCCTTGCTGTTTATACATTCTACATATAATAGTTTGCCTCTGCTAATCCCAAATTCCTAATTATTCCCTCCTCAACCTCCTTTCCTCCTTGTCAACCACAAGTCTATTCTCTATGTATGTGAGTCTGTTTCTAGAAAAATAGCTAAATTTTTAGTATTTTTCTTTTGCTGACAGAGGGACTACCGAGATTTTAAAATAATCATAAATAAATTAACCATTACTATATGTCATCTAATGAGATAATGTATGTAAAAATGTAATACATCGAGCCCCTTGTTATCCATTTTCATGGTTGCTCAGATGACAACCACAGTAAAAATATATTTGCTTCACTACTGAAATAAGAATTTCACCATATAACAATTCAAATGGAGGCCAAAAAGGTACAACAGTGAATGCAGGCAACCTATTAGCAGCTTAAAATACTTAAAATTATAAATATACAAATAATTAAATTATTTTGATTTATTTAACATCAAAGTATGAAAGCAAGAGCCACTGGTATTCTAAAGATTCACATGTTACATTCAAGAGTGAAACCACCATAGACAGAGGGCTTCTGTAACCCGTCCTCTGCAGTAAAAACATTACATTGCCATTCAGAAAGCTTACTTTAGAAACAAAGGAGTGATCTTTCCTCTGTCACACTACAGTGCCACGACACAAGGCATTCCCCCAGTCTTGCAGCCACCCAAACCGTGCCTCAAGGCCCAGCTCATGCACCACCTCCTCTGTCCCATCGCTGATTCTATTGAGGCTGATACAGATCCTCCTCCTGTTCTCCACTGAGTCTTCCATGAGATACATTTCTTATGTTACTCTTTGCATGTCTATCTCCTTTAGGAGATTCAGGATTCCTAAGGTCAGCAAAGGAATTTTTTCATGTGCCTAGAGTCCAGGAGCACACGCAATGGCCCTATATGCTACTCAATGCCAGCTGGGTGAATGAGGAGCCCATCTGAAGCATAACAAAGCTTCCTGGCAAAGTTCGTCTCAACATCTTTTGCAGAGAGGGAATGGTGTTGTTTTTGACTCTTCATGGTTCTGCTGGACTAGAGTAAACAAAGATCTTGTTCATTCCAATAAAGTACTAATTAAGAAGAGTTGTTGATATGTCAATAAATATTCAAGAGGGAGGCTTTTGGAGATAATTTGAAAGTCAAGTGATCTGGCTGTGATAAGTGAGAGCTGATGGTAGAGAAATTACTAGTCGCTTGTCTGAAAGTGCTTATTAGTCCGGTAGCCATCGTTGTGCCATGTAAAGAAAGGCTGGCAAGGCCCCTGAGAAACTCAGCCAGTCAGGGGGCAGGCGAGGAAGGAAATCTGGCTCCTCTACTTCTAACCAATCTGCTCGCTCCCAGGCTTCCACGAGTCGATTAGGAGGCATAGATACCTGGGACACAAATCTGTGAGATAAAAATATCTTGTGTTACGTGGGGCTGACCCCAGGACCAACATCAGCCAAAAGCCCCCTTCAATCAAGGCATCTTCTATCAACTGCTATTCTCAACCAAATTGTAGAGCAAATACCAATTTGGGAACCAATTAAGGGAAAAGCATATGTCTGTGACCTAGAGTATTGGGTTTGTGCCTTACATTCATCCTACTGTGATCTTGCTGCTGCTGCTTCTAAGTCGCTTCAGTCGTGTCCGACTTTGTGTGACCTCATAGATGGCAGCCCACCACACTCTGCTGTCCCTGGGATTCTCCAGGCAAGAACACTGGAGTGAGTTGCCATTTCCTTCTCCAATGCATGAAAGTGAAAAGTGAAAGTGAAGTAGCCCACTCATGTCTGACTCTTTGCAACCCCATGGACTGCAGCCTACCAGGCTCCTCCGTCCATGGGATTTGCCAGGCAAGAGACCGTGATCTTGCTACACTGCAACAAAGGAGCAGAGAAGGAGGGTGAGGTAGGGAAAGTTAGTACCTATTAGATTTCAAGTGCTTTAATGTAATCTCTCATTGTGAAATGAGGATTATTACTGTTCTGTACCAGACACAACTTAAGCTTGGGAAGGCTATAAGTTCTCCAAGGTTGAAGTGTTACCTAGAAAGTGATTTTGAGTCTATGTCTTTTTGGATTTATCAATGGTTCTTACACATAATTCTAGTAAAATTTTTCTAGAGTAAGAGAAAAGCTAGGAAAATTTGGTCCTTTCTTTTATATCCAGGCATTATTTATACTTTTCCCATACACTTTCAAATAAGGTCTACAAATGACTTCCTTCTATTTCTAAGGATTTCATTATTGTCAGCCATCATTTGCAATGTTTATTTTCATCATATTTATTTTTAAATTTATAAGTGTAAGGATACAAAACTATTACCATACACTTTCAAATAAGGTCTACAAATGACTTCCTTCTATTTCTAAGGATTTCATTATTGTCAGCCATCATTTGCAATGTTTATTTTCATCATGATATTTATTTTTAAATTTATAAGTGTAAGGATACAAAACTATTGCTTTACTTAGTTTAGTTGGTAACTAAAAATGATATATATTAAATACCAATACCTCTTCTGGTTATTAAGTGATTCCTCGTGGGTTATTTACATCAGCTGACAGAAGTGATATTAGTATCAATCCCACAATATGAACTATGAATTCAAGGTAAAATAAACATCTCTGGCCACTAAATTTTCCCCCCACACCATTGATGGTGTCAGTATTCGAAATAAGACTAAAATCAGGTTTGTGGATCACATTGCTTTCCTAACTATGCAAACTCTTGATTTGTTCTGGTTCTCAAGATTTTGTAATAAAATAAAAAGATTTTATTTCCAAATGTCCTCACTTAAGAAATGTTTTTCTTAGTATATATTTCTATTTCATGATAGCAAATACAGGATATTAAAATGAACACATGTTTCCTGAACTTTTAAATGATCTGAACTATCTTTATTTTCTTGATTTTTTTTTTTTTTTTTTTTTTTTTTNAACCTCATCTATCTTCCTATTACGTCAGACCTGGCTTGATATTAGCTTTCTTGAATCTAAAGTTTGGTTCTTCGAAGCTTATAATACCTTTATTTTTGATAATCAATTATACAGACTAAATGCCAGTCAGAATCTCTGCTATAGAACTTTGCTATTTTTGTATTTTTAATGAAATATTCTCACCCTTCCTGCCCTCCCCACCTCATGCCTCAAAGTCATTTCAGAGTTTAGTAGAATATTACATTTTTTATGGCCACCCTGAGTCAAACTTTGTTAATGTGACTGAGGTTGTCATGTCCCCTTACAACAGTTCTTCTTCCCCATGCTCACCTTCTTAGAGGTAGGGCCATGTGACTGGAACGCAGCCAGTGGTAGTGTAATAGAGCAGGATAAGCACAGCCCTTAACAGGTAGCCAATGCTGTGCCTCGTTACTCTGCAGCCTGTTACTAGGCAACGATCTTGCTCAACCATTGGTTGGTGCTTCAGTGGGCCCTTCCCACAAGCAACCAACTGTCAATGAGCAACCCTTAGTTGCCGTGTTCAGCTATTGGTCAGTGCGCACTGGTCCTGCTCACTGGTTAGTGTCCATGAGGGACCTGGGGAAGTGGTTCAGTCAAGGGTCGGTGGTGTGATGGTCATCAGGTGGAGAGTGCGGTAAGAGGCGGGTTCAGGTCTTCTTCCGGAGGCCCTCCAGCTTACTCAGCCTCAGGTAAGCAATTGAGCTGGAGGGCCCAAGGAACAGACTGGGGACTACGTCCTACAGGGCTTCAGAGCTCCCACAAAGGCCCTCCACTAGCCTTGTCCTAAGCCTTGAGGCAGTGGTGAACCTCTCCCCCATCCCGGTCTCTGTGACCTAATAGCAGTAGCTGTCTGTCTGGGTTACAGTCTGTGAGACCTGGTCTCCCTCTTTGGGCGGCCTGAGGAGACTGAGGGCCAGTTGGGTTGGGTGTCTGGCTCTGTCAGGGATGACAGTTGGTTGGACAGGATGTGGGACCTGGCCCTGAAGGAGATGCCAACTGGAATCTGCCTCCTCTTAGCCAGGACTGGGACCCTGAAGCGTGAAAGTTGTGCCTTGGGACCTTGCCCTCCTTGTCAGGACAGAGAATAATATTCATCTGGTAGAGATTTACAGGAACATCCTTACTTAACCATGACCTGACCCCAAGAGCAAAGGATCTGACGCCAAGAAGTCTGCAACAACTAACACCACCTATCTCTCACCTTTTGCTTTTTTAAAAGGACTTGTTAAAAGCCTTCAATGACTTTGGGGTTCGTAGGGCATGAGCCACCCATCTCCTTGTATGAATCTGTAATAAACTCTTCTCTGTTCCAAGCTCATTTTTTTTTTAATTCTTAAAATACAAATTCTTTAAATTGTATTTTTTCCCCCAAACGCTAATGCTTAGTATTGTTGAGCCTCACTGTGTGTCAGGCACATGGACTTGCAATTCAGTATACCAGTGGTACATAGAGTATGAGATGAGTTATTAAAAGGAGAGGGGCCTGAACTTACGCCTCATCTTTCCTCCTTCCTGTTATTTAAACCTCAGATAGTAGAGCTGGCATCTAGCTGCCAGTTGAGGATGAGACAACCTTGGAAGGACCCTGAGTCCTTGAAAATTGGGACTGTGATATTTTAACTGTCTACTCCCAAATCTTTTGAAGGTGATAAAAATTAAGCATAACTTACTCACACCAGTTATTTTTTTTTTTTCGCCATCAACCAAATTCAATTTTTAGTGGTTTTATTGAGATATATTTAACATACCATATATTCTCACAAAAAAATTTTTTTCTGACAGGAAGATTTTGAGTTTTATAGCAAACCATGTTGTACAGACCATAAGCCCAGGGGCTGCTGTGGCCCCACCCAGCCCCACAAGCAGCAGCATCTTCAAGCCTTTGGGGATCCCCAGGGACCCCTCCCCTCTGGTCTTTGGTCCCCAGTCACTCCCATCACCAATGCCAACTCCCTGTTACCTGAGGTATATGGATACATTCCTCCTCCCCTACGGTGATACAACCTGGCTCCCCAGGGAGAGCTGGGCTGAGAAGCAGGATCCCGCCCTGGCCCCTCCCCCTGACTTCCCAAACCACGCCCCCTCAGAGGAGGAAAGGGCAGGGGAGGGCCAAGAGTCTGTTACTAAGTTCCCATGGTAACTGAGCGGGGCCACGTCCAGCCTTAGTCCTGGATTTGGGAGATGTCTATTGGCTGCTAATTCCACGGCAACCAGGAGTCGCAGCTGCTTGAGCAAATGGAATAGAAGTTTCCATGAAGACGACAGAGTGGGAAGAGGCAAGCTGGAGGAGTCCCATTTTGCCTGTTGGAGAAGGAAATGGCAACCCACTCCAGTATTCTTGCCTAGAGAATCCCATGGACAAAGGAGCCTGATGGGCTCCTTTGACTTACCATAGTGTTTTCAGTGTTCATCCAAGTTGTATTGTGTGTTAGTACTTTATTCCTTTTCATGAGCAAATACTGTTCCATTGTATGGATATACTATGTTTTGTTTATTCATTAATCCATTGGTGCACATTTGGATTATTTCATCTTTTGTCTATTAAGAATGTTACTATAAATATTCATGTACACACAGCATAAACATATGTTTTCCTTTCTCTTGCACATACATCTGTGAGTTAAATTGCTATGTCAAATTGTAACTCTATGTTTAATCACTTGAGGAAGTATCAGAGCAAAGTGGATGCATCATTTTGCATTCTCGTCTGTACAGATTTGAGGGACTCAAATTCTCCACGTCCTTACCAACAGTTGTTCTTATCTGACTTTTTAATTCTATTCATACTAGGTCATGCAAAGATGGGCACAATAAAGGACAGAAAAGATATGGACCTAACAGAAGCAGAAGATATTAAGAAGACGTGGCAAGAATACACAAAACTACACAAAAAAAGACCTTCATGACCCAGATAATCATGATGGTATGATCACTCACCTACACCAGACCCCTGGAATGTGGGGCCTTAGGAAGCATCGCTACGAACAAAGCTAGTGAAGGTGATGGAATTCCAGTTGAGCTATTTCAAATCCTCAAAGATGATGCTGTTAAAGTGCTACACTCATTATGCCAGCAAATTTGGAAAACTCAGCAGTGGCCACGGACCTGGAAAATGACAGTTTTTATTCCAAACCCAAAGAAAGGCAATGCCAAAGAATGTTCAAACCACCACACAATTGCACTCATCTCACATGCTAGTAAAGTAACACTCAAAATTCTCCAAGTCAGGCTTCAACAGTACCTGAACCGTGAACTTCCAGATGTTCAAACTGGTTTTGGAAAAGGCAGAGGAACTGGAGATCAAATTGCCAACATCTGTTGGACCATTGAAAAAGCAAGAGAGGTCCAGAAAAACATCTATTTCTGCTNGAAAGCTGAGCACTGAAGAATTAATTGATGCTTTTGAACTGTGGTGTTGGAGAAGACTCTTGAGAGTTCCTTGGACTGCAAGGAGATCCAACCAGTCAATCCTAAAGGAAATCAGTCCTGAATATTCATTGCAAGGACTGATGCTGAAGCTGAAACTCCAATACTTTGGTGACCTGATGCAAAGAACTGACCCCCTGAAAAAGACCCTGATGCTGGGAAAGATTGAATACAGGAGGAAAAGGGGATGGCAGAGGATGAGATGTTTCGATGGCATCACCAACTCAATGGACAGGAGTTTGAGTAAACTCCAGGACTTGGTAATGGAAAGGGAGGCCTGGTGTGCTGCATTTTGTGGGGTCACAGAGAGTTGGACACTACTGAGCAACTGAACTGACTGACCGACTGATACTAGTAGGTATGAAGTAGTGATTTTGCATTTGCATTTTCCTGATGACCAATGATTTGAAAAGTTTTCTCATCTATGTTTCGGAAGCATTTGTGAAGATTTGCTATTATTTCTTTAAATGTTTGGTAAAACTAACAGTGAAGTCTTCTGGGTGTAGGATTTTCTTTGTGAGTAATTTCAAAAATTACTCATTCAATTTCTTCATTTATTATAGGTCTATTTAGAAGGTCTATTTCTTCTTGAATATGTTTCAGTAGTTTGTCTTTCTAAGAGTTTGAAAGTTATCTAATTTTTCACCTAACATCTAATTTTTTGGTGTACAATTGTTTATGGTTTCTCTTTATAGTCTTCTATTTTTGTAAGATTGGTAGAAATATCTTCTATTTAATTTATAATTCTAATAATTTAACTAGTTTCTCTTATTTTCTTAGTAAACTTGACTGGAGCTTTGTTTTATTTTGTTTTTTCAATTTTGTTAATCTTTTGAAGAAGATTTTCCTCTCATTGATTTTTGTTTTCAAGCTTACTTCTTGCTATTGGAGATAGTCAGGTTTATTTAAATTATTCATAATCTCCAGAGAAATAACAGTAATTTTTGTCCTAAATAGATAGGCCATGAAAAGAGGATATCACCTATCAAAGATTCAAGTCTCTGAAATTTACTTTTCTCCAGCTCATATTCATTTACAATTGAAGAGATAATACTCTTTTTCTTTGAATATGCTGTACATAAAGCTTGTAAATAGTCCAACACAGTAGACCCTCCAGAAGTACTTTTCTTCCCCTTCTAATAATAGGTTTATTCTTTTGAGAGTGAAGAAAAATCAGTCTGGTGAGTCTGGCAGCTTTTTATGCTCATTTTGGTTAGTAAGATCAAATCATTTCTAAAACAGTAATGTTAAATAACTTTAGTTAGTTTATTTAAAAATATGAAATTTGAATTTTTGTTCTGATCTTACTATTAGATTTCTGAAGAAAACTTTCCTCATTCAGAAAATGAGCAAAGAAGGCATAAATGAAGTAGTTGGCTAAAGTTATGACCAGAAATAGGTTTGATGGGAAAAAAAATCTATTGCTAACTTAAGGTAGTGTACTGGAAAATTTTATTATGTTCAGTCCATATGATAAAGATAAGAATAATTTGAGGAGAAAAGCCTTTTGGGGGTGACCAAAGACTAGAATGTGATTGTATGTAAAAAGCTGGATTCCAAATCATTTGCTTCTGATTCATCTAAAGCATCAAAGCAGGGGTCTACGATTTTTTCCCATAAAGGCCAGAAAGTAAATAGTTTGGATTTTATAGGCCATACAGTGGATATAAAGAATAGTAAAAGAACGAGAAAGACATGTCCAAAAAGCTGAGGGGTCACTGGGAATCTCTCTTTGGCACAGTCAGTCCCAGCAGGTCTCCACAGTCACCACCAGTCCATCCCCTCCCTGCAACCCATGCACTGTGCATCTTATCACCAGAATGAAACCAGTGACTGAGTAACAACAGCAAATAAGCACAGACATCTTTAATAAACACATTGAAAACAATTAGCAACAAGAGGCACCTCCCAGAGAGGGCAGACATAGCCTAGAAAAGAAAAGCCCTTTTTATTTTGTCTTTGGGCGCCCAGCATCTAGGTCATTATCCGCTT